AACTCAACAGAAAACAGAAACTGAACAAAAATCAAAGAAATCACCGCTTTGCAAAATCAAAGCCTGCTTTGCACTCCTTTTGCCCAACAAAAATTATGTTTTCAATCATGTAATGTCTGATGAAAAATAGATCCCCTACAACAACCAACAATGTTCAGTGCAGTGGGTGGATCGAGGTGAAGCACCAAAACACCACCGATAAAACTGAGCCCATACCAGAAGAAAGTCATGTTGACTGGTGATCTATGGCCTTATTAATCCACTACCATTTCTTGAATCCAGGTGAAAATAATACAGCAGAGAAATGCAACAAGTAAACGACAAAATGTACCAAAATCTGCAATGTTTGCATCTGGCATTGGTTAACTGAAAAGGTCCAATGAAGTTGCACAATAACATTTGTAAAAAGAGCAAGGGCTGTGTGGTGACGGCCGTAACTGGCCTTCCCCAATCCCACAAAGGGGAACTGTCACTGTCAACAGCATCCACAGTACAGAACTAATTCCCATGAGTCAGACATATACTCTACACTCCCACATCACTACCTACTCATCCCAAGACATATCTTACAGTTTCACTGGGTTCAAATCCATTGTGATAGCTCACTGATCCCACAAATCTGTAACAGGGACTTTAAAAGGTTTTAATTCAGATTAGCAGCAATCAGGACAACTCCCAAAAATGTGATCACGAGCACCTCAGCCTTGAGTCTCGCAGCTTTAGGCCAATCCTGCCAATTATGGCTCTCTCCCTGGGTCGTTAAACAAACTTGGGCAAAGGCTCTTAGCACTGGTTCCAGGGAACAGCAGTCTGTGTCTCTTGTCAGATCTTTGGTCTTCCACTGCTATGGCTGCTGCACGCTTGGTCTGATTAGCACAAGAATCTCTAACCCTGAAGGATGTGTTGCATTCTCTTGGTTCTTTATTGCTGGTGGTTAAGGTCTCTAATTCTGCAGCTGGCTGAGCTTAATTTTATGCCAAGACTAGCCAGTCCCCTTGTGGATACACTTACATGACCTCTTTGCATATTCCTGCCCATCCATCCACATGGCAAAGTCAGTTAATGGATAGGGAAGCCATTCTGAACAATAAACTCCTTAATATCACAACATTCAACCATATGCTGTACAACCAAAACTCCAAAAACTTGATGAACTGGGCTACAAAGCTCTGACCTAGCATACTTTCTATACTTCTTAGCACTCCCTCAAACACTTCAACAAGTTCTTACTGGGAAAACTCTTCAATGACCAAGGTGCCTTTGGTCAAGCTCAGAGCAGTAGAATTTCTGTTTTTCAAAACATTAATTCATTTGTTCATTACTTCAAAGGCTGCAGGCATCTGTTCAGATGCATGAAGTCTAGGACAGTAAATATGAGGTGTAGGTACCAAAATAAAGTTGGTGTGTGAAACTCTTCACATATGGATTTTTGTACCAATATTTTTCATATACTTCAAGTCTTGTTGGTTAACCTGATTTTATGAATAAGCTAAATAACCCCAATTCAATTTCTTTAAACCTACTTACTACTTTGGCAGTTTGACAAAATGATCACTAACTTCTTTACCAGTGAAAGGTTCCACATGCTGTGTATCAGAGCATCAATTTTTAACATGGTTATCCCTGAATGCATAGCAAGTGATTGTAAAGACCATGATGCCTTCTATCAGGCACACCTTAGTCTCCAGACTGATATCACTGCTCTTGAGTACTCTGGAGAGGTCTCTGATAGCACTCTTTCCCAATGCAATAAGTCTTTTAATTTCCTGGCTGCTAGTGCCAAGAGTGCTGATTGTGGAGCTAAGCAAACTAAAGCAATCTCTTCACCATCTATCATGATGCTACCAACTGGCCCAGTGGTGAGAATCTCTGTTTTCTTGATATGGAGTTTCAACCCAAATTGAAGGCTGAAGTCCTTGACCTTCTACAGCAAGCGCTTCAGGTCCTCCTCAGTTTCAGCAAGCAAGGCGATCTGTGCCATCTGCATAACACAGACTGTTGATCACATGCTATGCAACAGAGAGAGCTGGACAATGACTAGGGAGGATAGAAGGAGAACTGATGCCTTTGGGCTGTGGTGTTGGAGAATAATATTGAATTTACCATGGACTTCTAAAAGAACGAACAGATTGATCCTAGAGAGTGTTAAACCAGGCTGTTCCTTGGAGGCAAGGATTCTGAAGCTTTCTCTGACATACTTTGGAAATGTTGCTAGGAGGGACCAGTCCTTGGAGAGGGACATCATGCTTGGGAAGGTGGAAGGACAGCGCAGGAGGGGAAGACCCTCGATGGAATGGATTGATTCAGTGACTGGAGTAATCGGGGTCGGTGTGTCAGAGACACTAAGATTGGAACAAGATAGAGCAGAGTTGTGCTGCTGTACATAAAGTCACTCTGTGACACAGGCAATCTGATGGCACATAACAGCAACATCCCTGAATGGTATGTTTCCCTTATGTAACTGCCTGCTTAGCTTCAAAATTTTTTAAATGCCAAATATTTTCATGGTCATTTGCATGTAGTAATTTTTTTTTTAATTTTTAATTCTATTTAACCAGCCTGAAAGTTGCTCCTTTGAGGCACGGATTTTGAAGTTCTATCTCACACACACTGGGCAAGTGGCTAAGAGGGACTAGTCCATGGAGAAAGGCATCATGCTTGGAAGGGTGGTAGGACTGCACAGGAGAGGAAGACCTTGGATGAGACTGACTGACTTAGTAACTGAGGCAATGGGGGTAGGTGTGTCGCAGTTAGTAAGATTAGCTAAGGATAGCACAGATTCAGAGCTACTCTACATTGGGTCACAGCCAACTCAATGGCACATTAGAACAATATATTTAAATATTTTAATATCTAATTATATTTTTCCTCACCTTAAATAAAAGAAAGTGCAAACTCAATATAGTGCACTCTCAAATGTGGTGAGATCCTGTCAAAGGACGAGGAAAGTAACTAATGCAGTCTAGAAAGAACAAAGGAACTTTCCCTCCACCCTTAGGACAAACACATTTATCCTCAAAATATAACAGGGGCATCCACACTTATGCCACTATCAGATGATCCAGTGAGTTCTGGACAATACACGAAGCAGCCAAAGGCAACACAGAGAGATTTAGAGGTACTCTCATTAATTTGTCCCTTTCCACTGATTTTAACAAATTCAGGTTTATTTTTATCAAAATATATGGATGTACAAGTACCATTCTTCGGGCTGTGGTGCTTCAATGATCGAATTCCTGCCTTACATGTAAGAGACTTACATGGGTTCAGTTTTTGTACCTCTGCACTTCAAGCAGCCACTACCGATCTGTCAGTGGAAGCGTATGTGTTGCTGTGATGTTGTTTAGGTTTCAGCAGCACTCTCATACTAAAACAGACCAGAAAAATGGGCCTAACTAGTTCCAAAAATCAGCCTATGAGAAAGCCTATGAATTACAATGTGATACTATTAACTACTATTTTAGAAGCAGGAGTGGCATCTACTTCCTAAACAACATGCCTCTGGAAACTCTATGAACTTCGATAAATGACAATAGTTACAGAAAGATCCTTTATTCATAGAATCGCTATGAGTCGTGCTCGACTCAACAGCAATCAACGACAACTATCAACAGATGTTTGCCATGAGACATGGCCCACTTTCTAAAACAACAAAGTCATTCTTACAGCGGATGGCAGTCATTTAAAGGAGAAGCAGCTGTAGGCCTATGAAGCCATGAGAAAAAGTAGAAAAAAAAAAGTGCTTCCTTTCACAGGAAGGAAAGGTGTTTGTTTTATAAAGACTGCTAAAAAGAAGTTCATATATTAGTGTGCTAATAGCAAGTTACAACAAAATGGCAGAAAAAGTATTTCATAAACCCACTTACATATTAGACTGTGACCAGATGTGAGTAGGAAAAAAAAAAATACAAAGCACTGAAATCTATTATGACACTTTCAAAAAAGACTGATATTGCTAATAATACTGATAAAATTTGGACAAAAATTATGAACTTGAGTGTAACAATCATCATAGTAAAATGCCATCAAAACTTTAAGACATTAAAAAATAAAGCACAAGGAGTAACGAGTGAATTTTTAAAAAAATTATAAAAAACTAACGTATAAAAAACTAGCTTGGTATTTAGTAAGTGTTAATAAATTATTGTGTTTTGTTAATAAATAAAATTAAAATATAATGTTCCTCTTTTATATCTTGTTATCAATTCTACCTTTATTATGTTTTTTTAATTTTTAAAGTACTAGTAGTATATAGATAAGTGAACAGATAAACACACAAAAAAGATAAATATGCAAAAGTGTTCACTTGATGTGAGAGTGATGGCTAGAATAGCCAGAGAGTGGCCTGTGGAGTTTATCTTTTCATATGACTGTTCCTAGCCATCTAAACCTGATCTGACCATGTGGATGAGTTGGAACTATGCGAATGGGGCATGGTGGCCTATCCATAAGGGGAATGGCCAGTTTCAACAATCTCAAAGGGACTGGATAGTCTCACCAATAAACTGAACGCTCTAGCCTCAGAATCAGATCTTCCAGTACCACTGAAGAAGCAAGAGACTGGAGACCTGACACGAGTCAGGATGGGAGAGACCATATTTTACATATTGGTAGGACTGAGAACTCTGTTAGACAATTAGGTGTAGGAAGGCAATAGCGGCAAGACTGAGAACTTGGGAACAGGGTATTCATTTTTATAAAAAATATGCTTAGAAAAATTTCATCTTGTTTTATTGTTTTTCTATTTGAGAATATTTTCTCTTTGAGCATATTTCTATGTCCCAAAAATGTGACTTTAAAATCCAGTATGCAAACCTATTATCCTGTAAATGTACAGTTCCTTAAGAGCTGAGTTTTATGTTACCAGATAATTCACTGACAGATTAAATAGTTAACTCTTTGTGCATTTAAAAAACAATTTTATTTATAAAATTTTTAACTCATACTCAACATTTGTTAGTTAAATATCTGACAATTTCCAGAAGAATTATACTTCTTACCTTTTTGCCAGTAAAATCCTCTCCAAGTAAGTCATCTTCAAGTTCACTGGAGAAAGCAAAAAAAAAAAGATGTGTGTTAGTTGCCACACTAATAACTTTTTTGTTGTTATTATACACCATCAAAAGTTGGGATCAATTCATAACTAACCCTCCAGAAGGTTTGCAACAGCAGTAAAGCCTACAGGAGGGGATGACCCATCTTTCTGGGTAGCTTAAGCAGCTGATGGATTCACACCATTTGCCTTTGAGTTGGCCATGCAACTCCTTACCACTAGGCCACCAGAGCTAATAATTAAACTGATGTCAGGTCATGTACCGTCAAGTCAGAAATGAATCACAGCTAACCCTCCAGTAGGTTTTCAAGGCAATAAATCATACAGGAAAAGATTGCCCATTCTTTCCCCTAAGAGCTTCTAGTAAGTTTTAAACTGTGTATCTGAGTTAGCAGCACAACTCCTTACCACTAAGCCACCAGAGCTCCCTAGTACTTATAGTATTTATACTAGAAAAGTAACTAAGAAATTTACCAAGAACTTCATTATTTGAGAATTTCCATCTTAAGGTTTGCTATTGTTTCCTTTTCTATGTTATGATGAAAATACACTTTCAAGTATATGATTCCCCCCCCCCTTTTAAGTAGTGAGAGGCTTTGTTTTAGAAAGTGGCTCACTAAACTTCTATTTTAATTTTATATCTCAATGGAAGATCTAATCTCTGGATTTTCAACATTACTAATAAAAAAAAGAACATACCCTTTGACATTCATCAAACCAGAAAAAACTTGGATACAAAACAACTAAGACTTTTCTCCATAATTACATAAGATTATGCTAGTAGAAAAAGCAGCTTTCTCACACATGAAATTCAAAGTCTTTGCAATCTATAAAGACTTTTAAAAATGGCTAAATATTAAACATCATCTTTCTGTACACAAAGAGGCTATTTTAGTGTACCCAAACCTCAGTTATTTCTACTGTGTTAGGCTGGCTAAGAAAGCTGCAAATACAAATCAAGGAGACCTTTTCCTTCACGTTTTAAAAATAGTTTCTTTTTTAAGGGATGACCAAGGCCACAACTGGATTTTTTTTTTTAAATTAGAGAAAAACTAGTCTCTCAAAAATTGAGTCTTCAAGGTCCTGAATTTAGAAAATGAAAACACAATTTGACTTACTACAATTTCAGGTAAAAAAAATCAATGGCAATTAAGTTGCACTAAAGGCAGGATTAGTACCATTACTATCTTTTATAAAGACCAATTACAGAGTTCTAGTTTGGAGACCAGGACTGTTGTTTTTATAATTTGCCCTGCTAAGATTAATAGCAGGCTGTTTATGAGACGGCTCAGGTCAGCATACTCCCAAATGTTTAACCAGTTGTACAAGTCCACAGTTTATATTAACAGCACTATCTGTGACTCAGTTCCCCAATTCCTCTATGGCCTGTTTTCTCCTCTTTAGATTTCTGGTGTCAGAAGGAGTGGGATTCCTTGTTTCAGACTCGCAGACCCTTGGTCTGGTTTTGTGAATGTGGGGACTTGGGAAGATGTAGAGTTAAAATGGTTATTATTTCTTTCTGTGACAAGAGGGAGAAAACCAAAAAGGTTACTGTTGCTGTTACTGAGGAAGAAAGAAAAGCTGAAAAGTTAGTTCTATGGCCTAAAACAAAATGGTATGAAGACAAATGAAGATGGTACTAAGAATTTCTTTAAAAGACTACGTATGGGGGAAGTTCCAAGATGGCAGCGGTGGAGGAAACAGAATAAAGAGCTCGTGGAGCAGCAAGGTGCACAGAAAAAGGCCACCAGAAAGACTAACGCAGCACACTGAGACCAACGCAGCATGACATGGACAGTAGGAATTTGAGTCTGATTTTTTTTTTAAATAATTCATTTGTTAGCTATAGGAGCAGCAAGCTGCAGGCCTGGAAGAAGCCACCAGCCACGCTGCTGTGAAACCCACCTGCCAGCAGAAAACAGGTTAGTGGGAAACTGACTGAGTTTTCTTAAGCCCTGCCAACTGGCCAGGAACAAGCAGGCCAGTACGAATTTGACTGCGTTTTCATAAGCCCTGCTGGACCCAGGGTCCTGCTGGGATAGGGGGTCACAGGGTGAGGGACTTGGATGAGGGCCGCTGGGCAAAGGCAGCTGAGCAAGAGCCACTGGGTAGAAGACAGACGGCTGGAATTTGAGTAGGAACCCCATTCATAAGTACACCCAGACAGCTGAAATCAGAGTCAGGTCCCTGCAAGTGGCTGACCCGCCCCTGTGGCCGCCCTATCCTCGCCTCCCCTCTCCCCCCTTCCCCAACTCGGCTCCACAACCATGCCTACACGTCCAGTCAATCAACTTGCTTTTAATCCAGAGCACCTTGATCTGACTAAACTACAAGAGGCTGCTATTACAGGCCCTGAACTAAAGTTTCCCTTCAGTTAGAAGGTCAGAGAGAAACACAGGTGGGGTAGCTGCCCCACTGATTTCTAGAGCATTGTCTTCAGATCAAGAACCTATCAATGTCACACTATACAAGCACAAAGCAAGATGTCACCACCAAAAGGTGACACAGTATCAATGGATTTCCTGAAGTCAGAAAGTCTGATGGAACTTTCTGACAGAGAACTTAAAAGAACAATGATTGAATATTTTCAATGGGTGAAAGACAAACTTAAAGAATTAGAGGACACTGCAAGCAAAAACCAGGAGGAGCTTAAAAACAATCTAGAACAATGAAGATAAAACAAATGAGGCATTAAAGGCACTGCAAAAACAAGAGACCATAATCCAAAATATGAGGTCCAATGTTTCAGATGCTGTCAACATGACGGAGGGATACAAGAACAGAGTTGAAGAGACAGAACACAGAACCAGAGAAATAGAAAATAGATTTGTCACCACTGATCTGCTAGAGCAAAAATCAGATTCAGAAAGGAAGGAAAAATAAGAAAACCTAAGAATAATGTGGGACACCATCAAGAAAAATAACATGTGCATCATCAGAATCCCAGAACAGGAAGAAGCAAGTAAAGGTACCAAAAAAGTTGTGGAAGAATTACTAGAGGAAAACTTCCCAGGCATAATGAAGAGTGAGAGAATATATATTCAAGAAGCTGAGTGAACACCATATAGAATAGACCCCAAAAGAAAAACACCAAGGCATATCATAGTTAAATTTGCCAGAACCAAAGATAAGGAGAGAATTCTGAAAGCAGGGAGAAAGAAACAAAGAGTAACCTATAAGGGAGAATAGATAAGATTAAGTGCTGATTTCTGAGCAGAAACAAAGAAGACAGTGGGAAAACACATATCAAACAACACAACTGTCAATCAAGAATACTGTACCCAGCAAAATTGTCCATTAAATATGAAGGAGAGATCAAGATATTCCCAGAAAAACAGAACCTAAGGGAGTTTGTAAAAACAAGACTACCATTGCAGGAAACACTGAGAGGTGTCCTTACAGAGGTGCCTCAGAAAGCAGAATGGACCAAAGTAAACAGCAACAATACAAAAAACAACAACAAAATGACAGCAATAAAACCCTACCTTTCAATACTCATATGAATGTGAATGGTTTGAATGCACCATTGAAGAGAAAAAGACTAGCAGATTGGATAGAAAACAATATCCATCAATATGCTGTCTACAAGAGACACACCCAAAAAATGAAGATAAAGACTAAAAATAAAACAATGGGGAAAAATATACCAAGCAAATGACAACCAGAAAAAAAACAGGAGTGGTGATATTAATTTCTGATAAAATAAACTTCAATGCAAAAACCATCACAACAGACAAGGAAGGTCACTACATAGTGCTTAAAGTGTCAAAAGAAGAAGAGGACATAACAATAATAAATATATATGCACCAAAGGCAAGATCTGCTAACAAAACTGAAAAAGGAGAGACTTCAATACATGACTCTCAAGACAAGACAGAACTACCAGAAAAAAAACTCAACAAAGATGCTCAAGAATTAAACCACACAATAAACCAACTCGACCTCACAGATACCAACAGGCTAATGCACCAAAAAAAACCAAACAAACAAACAAACAAAAAAAAAACCCCAAAACAACCTTCTCCAATGTACATGGAACATTCTCCAAAACAGATCACATTTTAGGTCACAAGGCAAGCATCAATAAATTCAAAAACATAGAAATAATACAAAGCATCTTCTCAGACCACAATGCTACAAAATTAGAAATTAATAACAAGAGGATAAAGGAGAAAACACCATACATTTCGAAGCGGGACAACACCTTGTTTGAACATAAGTGGGTACTAGAAGAAATAAAAAATGAAATTAAAAAGTTTCTTGAAACAAATGACAATGAAAACACCACTTATCAAAACCTCTGGAAACATAGGTCAATTTACAGCAATAAGCAAACATATCAAAAGGCAGGAAAAAATGACCATGACTCTGTAACCTAACATCTCCAACAAATTGAAAAGGAACAGTAAGAAAACTCTCAAAACACCCCCAAAAACAAACCTGAAATTATAAAAATTAGCACAGAAATAAATAGAAAACTGAAAACCAACTGAAACCTTTAACAAAACTAGGAGTTGGTTCTTTGAAAAGGTCAATAAAATCAATAAATCACTAGCAAAACTAACAAAGGAAAAGACACAAATAAGCCAAATAAGAGATTAAATGGGCGACATCACAACAGAACCAACTAAAATAAAACGGGTAACATTTTATTATGAAAAATTACACTAAAACAAATATGAAAACCTAGAGGAAATGGACAAATACTTAGAAATTCACAACCTACTTAAACTGACACCAATCAAAATTCAACATCTGAACAGACCCATTACAAAAGGAAAAAAAAAAGTCCTGGACCAGATGGCTTTACAAGTGAATTTTAACAAACATTCGAGAAGATCTGTCACCAATTCTACATAAACTATTTCAGAAAAGAGAAAGAGATAGAATTCTCCCAGACTCAGTCTATGAATGCGAACCCATTTCTCCATGAAGCAAACATATTCTTGATACCAAAGCCAGGAAAAGACACCATCAAAACTGAAAACTACAG